AGCACTTTATTCTGCTTCTTTATTTTAAAACCCTTACCTAAAATCCAAAATCTTCTTTTATTCTCCTTGCTTATTTTTAAAAGCCTTTCCTAAAAAATCTGATATTTCTTTTTATTCTCTTTACTTATTTTAAAAGCTTTTCCAAAAATCTAAAATCATGTTTATTCTACTTTTTATTTTGAAAGTTCTTCTAAAATATAAAATCACTCCTAAAATAGGTCAGGCCTCTTTATCAATAGGAGGTAATGTGCTTAGAGTTAATGGTCTTATTTTTTATATCTGAAATCAGATTTTAGCCTTAGTATTTTCCCATTCGAGGGTTGTATCTGATGTCGGGGTAGTGCTCTGGTTGTCCTTCGTCCGAGGTAGTAATCGACTCCACGGGTCTGGGTGGTGCTCAGGCTATAGCTCGACCTTGAAAAAGTATTTATCTATCCTTTCACCCTTCCTGTTGCTGCCCACCCGCTTCCCAGCCCAACAACAAGGCACCGCGCATCGTCTTCCCCAACAACCGCTGGCTGTTGTCCTCCCTCCAACCTGCCGCCAGCCTTCTCCCAGCAAGGCCACAGTTCCACATACTCCATCCCAACGCTCAGTCACCCTTCCTGAACAACCCAATCTTCTTGTCCACCGGCCCAAAATTCCTCCCAGCACTCAGCCGACCCACTTCCAGCAATCTACCTTGTTGTCCAAGCCTTTCCCATCGCTGTCAGTGCTTCCGCGCTCGCTGTCCACCCTTCGAAAGTGCTGATGAGCCTTCTCCGCTGGTGCCCCACATTCCCAGCTTGCTATCTCACCTTCCAACCTATCTCCCATCCACCCAACAAAACCTTCCCGCCACCTTAACCTGCTGCCTCCCTCCTCCAGTTCACCTTCCAAACCCTGTCAACCCCTCTCCAGCATTCACACTTGTCGCCCCCAAGCCTTTGGATCCACTGGGCCAACCTCCACTATCCTTGGGATACACTTTCGAGGTGTTGGCTTGTGTCTTTATGTTTGTTTGTCGTTTATTTCATGCTTTGAAGAGTCGTTATCAATTTTAAATTCAATAATAATATTTGTGTTTCTTTTGTGGTTTGAACTTTCTCCTCCAATACCATTTATACTATCCAAATTGTTCATATTACATCGAAAATACCAATATTTTAACTTTTAAAAAGTGAAATATATCTTTTTATGCATATATAAGGTAGCTTATATGTAAAAATTAAAGTTTAAGTGTTAGATATGTAAATACATAATAAAAAATGTGCATTGGATTTAAATCTTCCACCAAAAATAAAAAGAAGATAGAAATAGCTTTATATTTTGACAATTAATATTGATAAATCTTATTCTCATCAAACATGAAATTTTATAAAATTGCCCCTCTAGCGTTGTATCTCAATCTTCACAAATTAGTGAGCATTTACCTCGTGGCTTTAGAATGATGAGTGAGAAAAGAAAAAATTAATTTCTCCTTGAAGCCAAAACAAGGCATTGGCAAAGCATCACAAACAAAGCAGTCTGCTTTCTAATATATAAATTTGCCATGCAATCAAGCATTCAAGCTAAGAGACAATATCCATGAATAAAACATGAAAATAAAGTATGACCATAATTTATTTTATAAATTATTTAATACCCTTTTGTATCCAACCGTTAAGTGTAATCAAGCTTTCTAATATATTCCCTATTAAAGATTCAGTAATTTTCTTTCATCACTAAATGTTGAACGCTAATGTATGTATGTTGCATGTAATGATCCTGCAATATTGAGAGCTGAACAGTAATGTATGTATGTATATCCTTTAGCATTAAGAGTCGAAAGCTATTGTATGTGTGAGTGTGTGTGTGTGTGTGTGTGTGTGTTGTATGTACGTACGTATGTATGTATGGAAGTGTCTGTGTATATATTGTATTGTTAGAAGTTATACTAGAAAAAAATTTATTCATATTACAAGTTATGAGTGTTAGAATTATTTCCTAATATAATTTCATTTTCTTTCCTATTTCAGATTTATTTTCTTGGATTTGACTTATTTCATTTTCTATTTTAGATTTTCCTATTTTATGTTGTTTCCTTTATCTCTAAATAATTAATATGAATTGATTAATTGGAGATATTATGTGTTATATCTTTCTTTTCCTGTTATTTCATTTTATTGTATTTCCTATTACATGATTCATGTAAAAATTATCTATATCCCCTTTCATATCAATAATATAATTCAATTATTCTGAATTTCAATATGGTGTCAGAGCTTAATTTTGTACCATAGCCACCGGCCTCCTTCATGAACCTCTGGACTCCCTTCCTGTCATCCTTCGTGCGGGAAGGGAGTGGCACTCGTCTCGGCATTTGAAACAACAACTTTTAATTCTTTCTCACCCTATGGGCTTAGCCTGTCGGCTAGCCCTTCGCGAGCCAGAAGCTTTGACTCTGTTGGCCTCTAAAAAGCAAGTAGTTTTGTTCTTGCTATTTTTCCCTCGAACAGGGATCTGTTCCGTAGAGAAACTTTTGCTATTGGCTGCCTGACAATTTTTTTCCCATAAAGAACTATTGCATATTTGCCGTGTAGATCTATAGTCGTCGGTTCCTAAAGCTGTCATTCTTTTTCACCCTAGTTGTTGCCAGTTCCCCTCTTCCCTACCAGTTTTCTAAAGGTTGATGTTGTTGATCCTTTCGGCAGGTGGTTCCAGCAGTCGGACCTCTCTTCGCTGAAGAGTCGATCCTTAGATTCCAGTCTCGGATCTTCTTGTTGCAAGATTAAAGCGCATCTAGATTGATGATGTCCAAGGCAACCAATTATGGATTACTGCCGCCCTCTCACCGGCAGCCTCTTCCGGCAAGATTGTTGTCGGACCTCTGTCGACCGGCTCTCCCTCTCACTGGCGACCGATCTTTGATGGGTGGTGTGTCGATGACTTTACTATCGTTCTTCCCCGTAGGACCTTCCCGTTGTTCCTCCCCGCAGGACCTTCTCGTTGTTCTAACCCGCAGAACTTTCCCGCATGAAACAAAGAAGTTTTTTCTGTTGCTCTTCCCAGTAACAGGAAACAACACAGCTTTTTTCCCTGAAGTCAAGCGCTGCTTCCTATCGTTTCTTGTTGTTCTTCCACAAAAATTCAGCGTTGATTCTTGCAGTTTGATCCGTCGTTAGCCCTTTCTCCTGCAGGTGTCAGGAGAAGTTGTGTTTCCAGCGATCGTTTCTCCTGCAGCTTTCTCTGTCGACAGAATTTCTTGGGTGTTATTTTATCTTCTTCTCTCTTGTGGAAATCCCAACCTAAAACTCGTAGCTAATGCCCAGAGAGGAAGACTCCGATGTTCGGAGAGGGAGACTGTGATGTTCGGAGAGTGGGACTTTCTCTCTCCAGTGGCATTCCCAATCGAAAGGGAGAAGTTATTTTCCCATACATGGCTTCGCTGAAAAAATGGACAAAGAGGATGAGCTATTTTTGTCATTTCTTTTCCCCTATAGGTTTCAACTGCTTCTTCCCTGTTGTTGGAAAACTCTATGCAGGGCTTTCTATATTTTTTCCATTGCCACCGGAATGTTTTCCTGCATCAGGTCATCCACTGTAATTCTTCCTACAACAACCCTCCTCCGAAACTTTTCCTGCATCAAGCCCTCCTCGAAATCTTTTTCTGTATCAGACCCTCCTCCAGAGCTTTTCCTGTAGCAGATCTCGTTCGGAACTTTTTTCTACAACAGTCTTTAGAACTTTTTCCTGCAGCAGGCTTTCCTCTGGAACATTTTTAGTAGAAGATCCTCTGGAGCTTTTCCTGCATTAAGGGTATGTTTGGCGCATCTGCAGCTTCTCAGCTGCAGCTGCGCTGCCCCAGGAAGCTATTGTGGGGAAGCTGCTGCGGGAAAACTGGCTGTCTAATTGGGGCAGCTGTGTGAAAATAGCTATGGTGCAGCTGTTTAGAAAAAAAATGATAATTCTACCCCTATTTTGTAAGTTAGTGATAAATCTTATCGTATTCAACAAAAAAAATTAGAGAAGAACACGAAAAAATGACAGTTAAAAGGTTGTAAACAGCTTTGAACAATATTGAACTTTTTCATCAATAATAAGCAGATTCAACTCAGATGGTGTCATACTATTAGTAAAGTTGGGCAAGAATTTCATGCCTTTGAAGCACATTTTTCAGCATTCCCAGATTTTTTGGTTCCATAAATCTCTGTAAGAAAATATACAGGATATGATTTTTTATACTAGAAAGAAATAGGAGATTTACCTTCGATTCTTTCAAGTAGGGGCGGAGGGGAGCGTAGTGGAGCGGAGGAGAAGATAGATGGGAGTCACAGGTCTGTAGAAGTCGTGATTGAATCGTCGCCTTCCTTCTCAAGTCTGGCTTGTAATCTAGCGATGAGCTGTTCTTCATCTCCATGATGAAGCATTCGGCTTCAAGAAGATCGATCGGCTTCGCGAGATGATCAAGATCAGCGGGCGGCTTCGTGACATGTAAATCAGAAGCGATCGCGAAAC